CAAAGACCAATTCACGGGATAACAGAAATAAAAATAAACCGGTTGTATCATTAAAAAAAAATGAGGGTGCCATGACGGTTAGCGCCACAGCAGTGGCGATCGTTGCATAAAAAATACTGGATTTCTCAATAGATGGCCACCCTAATAAGATAAGAAGAACTAAGAAAGAAAAATGATTTAGCAATTTTCTCAAAAAATTTCAACCATCTAAAAAAGAAAAGAATGAAGGCGATGGAAAGCTGACATATTTGAACTCAATAGCTTATAGACATGGAAACATTTTTAATCGAAAGTGGTATACAAATCCAACATTACCAGGACGAATAATTAACTTTAACTTTAAAAAATAATTATAAATATAAAGCAGTACGTTGAATACTACGGATGTTAAACATTTCTGACAAAGCACAAGAAGAGGTAAGTCTGATTTTAAGAGACAATGACTTTTCTTACCATTTAATTAAAATTATTAAAAAGACTCCAAACCATTGCGCAAAAGCCAAGATGTCTAGAACCTTCACAGTTTATGTCCGTTATACAAACTTCAAGACTATAATAATGCTACAATATAGACAAAATAAGAGAGAACGCTATAGTCGGGTGCCCCGACTATCAGATACCCGTTACTCAGGTAAAGGGAGTGCGAGGGAGATGGAGATAAAAACTTTGATCACGCATAACTTTTTAACGAATGGTCCGATTTGAAAAATTCGATAGGTATTGATAAACACAATAAAACTGCATTTTTACTTTTCCGAAATATTTAAATTTTTAAAATCGTATATAAGCGATTGTGGGCGTTAAAGGGGGCGTGGCACCTTTTTGAAAAAAACTTGCGCTGCGTAGGAACTCCTAGAATCTGCATGCAAAATGCCAATCTTCTAGCTTTTATAGTTTCCGAGATCTCAGCGTTTATACGGACGGACAGACAGACGGACAGACGGACATGGCTATATCGACTCGGCTAGTGACCCTGATCAAGAATATATATACTTTATAGGGTCGGAAACGCTTCCTTCTAGCTGTTACATACTTTTGCACGAATACAATATACTCTTTTACTCTACGAGTAACGGGTATAAAAATAGCAGATAAGCGTTGTTGGGCCCTCCAAAACTCTTTTAATAAAACAAATATCTGACAAATACTATGTTGTATATAAAATACCGTGCAATGGGTATGAAAATGAAAAATGTGAAAGCATGTAATATTATTATTATAATAAGAGACTATACTTAAAACTATACCTACTTATGTGATATAGCGATGGCTGCAGGACCTTAGGCTTATATGTTGACAAAGATTTTGGGATGGTGTGGTTGATTTTAGAAAATAAAGGATTTGTTCAATGTTGTCTGGGTTGAGGTCTCTAAGAAGGTTTAGGGGGTTTGCGTTTTTGAAGATAGTCTGTTTGGTTTAAAAATTGACAATTGGGGCAATGTGAGGCTGGATTCGGATTCAGACAATGCTGAATCATAGCAACATTCGCATGCTTCCACTGCTCCGGATATATGAAAGAACTTATTTTCTCAATAGAGTTTCAGCCCTTTTAAAAACTGCTAAGTCTTGAGGATAACGTGTACGCATCTAGCGTCGCCATAGTTATCGCAGCCTTGGTTTCACCAGTTGTGGGGGGGCAGCAGCACACAAATGTATTTCAAGAGGAATGTGATCAAAGATCCGTGAACAGTCAGAAAGTTAGACGAAATCAATTTCAGTTTAGTTCTTTGTGATTTCAGAAGGAAATCATTGTAATTGTAATTAAATGATCTGGGCTTTTTTAAAGAAAAGAGAAAAGAGATAACAATATATAATTTTTTATATATTGCAAAGTTATGAAGTTTAAAGCATACGCGTTGCATCACTACTTTTAGTGTTGCTTTGATATTTTACTGGTTTGGCTACTGAACAAACAATAATTATGGTATATTATAATTACTGAATTAGAAAAAAAGGCATCGCTATGTCATTCCGATTTTTGTACCAGTTTTTCTGTACCTGAAAACTTCACTGAATTTCTACATTATATGAAAGGTACTCGTACAATATTATTTGCAATTTTATTCGTGTTTATAATTGTTATATTTATACTCGTTACTAACAGAAAAACTTGGTACTTAATTCAATTCATTCAGTTTTAGCTGTGTTCTTACTATTTAGATGTGGTTCTTTTTCAGTTTAACCCTAGCGAACTTATACATTTTATGTGCTTAACTTTACTTAAATTCTTTGTTAACACATCTGAAATCAAATCTTCGGTTGGTACATATTCAATATCAATGACTTTCTTCTTATATAAATCTCTTATCTATGTGTTTACTTCTTGCATGAAAAGTAGCATTCTTAGCTAGACATTGAGCGCTCTGATTGTCACTGTAGATCATCAATGTTGACGCCGTCTTAAAACCCATTTCAGATATTATTTTCTGGACGTAAGCAGCCTCCTTAGCTGATGTTGAAAGCGCTACATACTCTGCCTCCGTTCTACTGAGTGCTATGATGCTCTGCTTCTTTGACTCCCACGAAAACGCTGCTCCAGCCATGAAGAACTATGCTGTCTCCTGCCCAATCTGCATCGACATAGCAGTGAACAGGCAAACTAGATCGAGCATAATGCAACTGCAAGCCCGAAATTCCTTTTAGGTAGCGAAGGACTCTTTTAGCAGCCACCTCATATTCTTCATGGCACCTCTGTGCCAACTTTGCCACGGAGTGTACAATGTCTGGTCTTGTGGTCATGGCTAAGTACAGCAATGACCCAATAGTGATTGATACTGCTTTTGGTTAGCTCTTGGGCAGTCAACCACAGTACACAGGCTCTGATAACCAACCTCTAAAGGTGTGGCATTCGGCTTACAGTTTTAAATGCTATATTCTCGTAACAGCCCGTCGATATACTGCTTATGACCAATCGTCACGCTGCCCGTCTCTACATTCCGTTCGTTTTCCATGCCCAAGAAATGGTTCAGCTCTCCGCCATCTACTAGATAAAATTTCTGTGTGATTTCAAGTTTAATGTTGACAAGGTCTTCTTTTCTGGAACAAACAATAATTAGATCATCAACATATAAAACAAATATGCTAAGACTTCCGCCAATTTTCTTGGTGTAAATGCATGGCTCACTAGGGCACTGGACAAAACCAATATGCTGAAGAACCAATTTCTGGTTCCATTCCCGTCTACTCTGCTTCACACCGTACAACGCCTTGTGCAACCTCAGCACCCTATACTACACCTTGTAGGTCACTGTTGAGATACGCAGCTGAGAAGTCCATTTGGTGAATAAACATTTTATTTCCGACAGCCAGTGCAATCACCAATCGGATGGAAGAATACCATGCCAGGGGGAAAATGTTTCTGTGTAATTCTCTACGTATATACTCCTGTCCATAACCTTTTGCGACGAAGCGAGCCTTAAATTCCACGTAGCCAGATTGATAACCCTTGATGGCAAAGACCCATTTGCTCCCAATACTTTAGCGCCTCCTTGACTCCGCTCGGCACTTGGATGTTGGCAACTCCAATAGCGTTTAGCTTATTGTATTCCTTACGTGGTCGCCCTGGCTTTCCCGTACGGATTAACTTCGTCCTCCCTGGGCCTCTCTGGACTCGGTTGACGTTCTCAACTAACTCGTCTTCATCATCATTGGCCTCTGACTGTTCATCCCTTTCTGGATCTTCGTTATTTTTATCTTGCTCACCATTTGTATGCATATTCAATAAGTTTGAGTTTTCTGTCAACTCTACGGACGATATATCCTCATTTTTCATCATAACCGTGCTTAAGGAACACACCATCGCTGGCTTCCTTGATAGTTTGCTTATCAGGATTGAAGAGCATATATGCTTTGGCAGTTTCTGAGTCACCAACCAAGATATGCTCTATCCCTTTCTGAGAAAATGTTCTTTTCCTTGTCTTGTCTAGAACTACGGCCTTTGTACCAAAAACATTCAGGTGGGACACTCCGGGTTTTTTCCCAAGCCATGCTCCGTACGGAGTCATATCTGGTAATGTAGACGTTTCAGATCTGTTTCTCAAGTACATCGCATTATCGCTTCCCCCATAGTGATTCACCAGCACTGGAATGAACCATCATGCTTCTTGCCATTTCCACTAGCGTCCTATTGGCACGCTCAGCAACGCCGTTTTGCTGCGGAGTATGGGGAACGGTAAGCTGCCTCTAAATCCCATGACTTATCAAAAAATATTCAAACGCACCGTTGATGTACTCTCTACCCTTATCGCTCCGTATGGCTTTAATCTGCTATCCAGTTTGTGTTTCAGCCAACAATTTAAATTCTTTGAATTTGTCGAAAAGTTGATCTTTTGTTTTTAGCATATACACCAATACGTAACGCATCTTGTCGTCGATAAATGTAGCAAAATATCGCGCTCCTCCTTTAGAAACAGTACTTATAGGACCGCATACGTCCGTATGAATCAGACCCAACACTTTAATCAAACGATTTTCTGACATTTTTGGGAACTGTTTTACGCAAATCTTGCTTTTCGCACACGTCTTGCAAACAAAGTCATTTATGTTACCGGTAACTCCATCCAGACCATACACTAATTTTTTTCGAATCATGGTTTTTAAACTTTGGAAATTCAAAAGTCGGAATCTGTTGTGCAACGTTATTACTTGGTTTATTTTCCCGTTTGCAGCAAAAGCCATTTAGTTTTCATTTTCGACAATAAACAAGTCATTCTTTATGTTTCCTTTCAACTCCGTTTCACCGATCTTATTTTTGACGCTTGCATTATTTTTCGAAAAACATATTTCGAACCCGTTGTTCGTTGCCTTTGACACGGAAATAAAGTTACACTGAAGATTTTTTACAAACAAAAAATATGCACCTCATACTTTTAAAAATTTTTTAAAAGTTTTAAAAGTGCATTTCTTTTTGTGGCACGAAGACCTTTAAAATAAATAAGAACTCAGTTCGTGTGACCACGTTTTTATTTTAAGTAAATTAGCAGGAAGGAGTAAATGCTTACATGTTTTATAACAGTGTAGGGTCTGTAATCAAACCCAGCAATGACGACTTCTCGACCCTGTAAGTCCTTAAGTTTGTCTGGGAATAGGAATTTTCCCAACAGAAATCGTTGTTCGGAGGCCAAATATCTGTCCAGCAGCTTTAGCTGTGCAGGCTTCCCTGCCTTTGGTCCAACATATTTGTTGGTTTTTATATCGAAAACTGTGCCGTTTGGGTAATCTCGAACAACAAGTAGTATGTTGGGTTGATCTAAAATAAATAAGAATAATGTTAAATTTTTAAAATATTTTATTCCCTTATTTTATTTTAATGAAAACATATTTTAACAAGTAACAGTTTTTTATACTCTAGCTAGCAAGATAATATTATTTTTAAACGACATCTCTACATTTATCCAAACAGTTTTTTATACTCTAGCTAGCCAGGTATTATTTTTTTAAACGATATCAATACTTTTATATTGAAAACTTTGAATAAAATATTTTATTTCTGGAAGCGTAAATTCAATTAATCAACAAATGTTTGCCCGCCCAACCGACCGAGGGTTGGAGCCGTGTATCGTACGGCACGATTCGCGAGAAGATAGACGCGAGACATGAAGATATAGGTAAAAGTCCGGGGAAAAAAATTAACAGTTAGATCAATTTTGTGCCAATGAAGCTAGTATTAATCGTTTTAGGAGTGGCAGAGAGTCAAGATTTGATATTATAGGAAAAAGTCTATTATAGTCAGAACATAATAAATAGGGTCATGCAAGGCATAGTTAGATCTACAATGATTTAAAATTAGGGGAACATAATTTCTAGTTAATCTACTTGAAACAGAAAAGTTTAGCCGACTTACAAAGTCGGGACAGTCAATATCACCATGTATTAGGTTATAAATGAAGACAGTACCACGCATCGTTCTACGGTTGGCTAGGGAGGGTAAATTAATCATCAGAAGTCTACTTCTGTTAAAAAATTTGCATCCCAGATTAGGCGCCGTAAAGCAAAAAGAAGAACGTTTTTTGTACTGATTCAATACGACCAATATGTATTCCCCATTGAGGATTCCGGACTGGACGGACTAGCGAAATAAATAAAGTTTTTGTTAAATAAGGATCACCGAATTCTTTTGACCACCTTTTAATAAACCCAAGCACTTGTAACGAACTAGTTTTTATTGTCTGCTCGCTACGAGTATCGTGCGGACTCTGGCGGTGAACTACTGTGCTCTCGACGCATACGCCTCTCGAGACACCCGTGGTTCGGACGCGCGTCCTTCTTGGCTAGTCGCACCAGGGCCTGCGCAATTCTCGCCTGCCGGTTCAGGCGTACGCCGGAATTCGGCAATTGTTTTCGCACGGCAGCTGGTTCTGGACAACTTCCCTTCCGAGCCCACGGTTCTTTGTCGAAGGACTCTTTTTATTCAACTCTCTCGGACTCGCCGAGCAATACGCCAAGCGACAATAATTGGAACAAAGCGCCTGGACTTAACCGCGTGATGCCTTAAGGATATCAGCTACCTGTTTCTCAGCTCGGAGACTTCGACTCTAAGTCCCGAACGTCTTGATGTAGCGATCTTGCTCCTTGTTGACTCGGCGCGGCTCTCCTTCCTCCTGATGTTAACTTGGGTTGTGTTGTTCACTGATTTGCTGCTTGTCTACTGATCTCGTTGGATTGACTCCTTGTGATCGACTGATCCCGCTTCCTGCGCTCGGCCTGCTTATATAGGCCGGCGGTCCAAAGTCCGCCGCCTTCTACCGTTACTCCTTCTCTCCAAACTCTCTCTCTCTCCTCATTCTCCAAACTCTCTTCTCGTTTCTCTCCAAACTCTCTCCAGCTGTATTCTCCAAACTCTCTCCAGCTGTATTCTCCAAACTCTATTCAGCTTTATTCTCCAAACTCTCTTTTATATGTGAGGAGTTATTCAACTCCTCACATTCTCCCCTTTCTTCGGGAAAGAAGTGAGACCTCTTCTCCGGCTTTTATCTCGGAGTTCTCTCTAGATCCGTTGTTCTGGATCGCTGATGTTGGTCCTCCTTTCCTCGACGTCGCTCCTTCTCGTTCTATGCAGTTTCCGCCCCAAGATATTTCCCCCATAGACTTGATTTTCTTCTCTCCGGCTGTCTTCCTTGTAAATCCTTGTAGCCTTCGAGTCTTCTTGCTCCTGCAAATGGTTCCCTCGACGCTCACAGCTCGTACCTGAGTTCCACACCGCCGATGTTCCATTCCTTTTCCCGCCCAAGATATTTCCCCACAGACGTCTCGTGTTCTCCTCCCTGCTTGAATGTTCCGCCCAAGATGTTTTCCCCTTATGCTTCGCGTTCAAAGCATCTCGTTTCCTCCGTTGTCGTTGCCGATCTCGATGATTAGAATTAGCGCAGCGTTTCCATCCGGTGGTGGCGATATTTTTTTAGTTTGACCCTTCCTGTGCCGACATCTCAGTGTTCTGTGCCCATCGATCGACACTATCGTCCAGTGCCAATCGACCGCTTATTAATCGAAGCGCCCCCATCCCTTTAGATGTGCGACATGACAAGAAATTTTCAATGGTAATTTTTTTCCTTTCTTTCTCCACTTTCACCCTTCTCACTTTTTACTCTCTCTTTTAGCCTTTCGCCCTCCAGTCGCCTTTGGCCGTAGGGCCTCGATGTCGTGAACGGGAAGACCGATGCCGCCTGTTCCCTTTTTTTTTTTGGTTTTTGTGTTATTTATTTGATTGTATTGTGTGCGTTTGTTATGTTTGCTGTGCCCGTTTTTTCTGTGTTCCCTGTGCCAGGGTTTTCTATGTTTATATATAGCCTGATCTAATCCGTATAGAGAGTTTGGCGTTGCTGGTCGTGTTTTATAAACCTATTCCACGCGGCGTATAGGCGGATGACTCGGGCGTATGCCCGACGCTGAATCCGACTGCCTCGTTGGGGTTTTTATGCAACCTTTCTTTTCCTTAGGACCCTATTTACGCGGCGTATAGGCGGATGACTCGGGCGTATGCTCGACGCTGAATTCGACTGCCTCGTTGTATGGGTCCCCCTTTTTTTATTTGTTACAACTTATCTACGCGGCGTATCGATGGATGACTCGGACTTATACCCGACGCCGAATCCGTCTGCCTCGTAGTCGTGGTCCCCAGCATCCTTTTCCATTCATGTCCTTGTGTCTTATATTAGTGATTGTCCTTTCTGCGTGGCGTATGGATGACTCTCGCTTCGGCCTGACGCCTAGTTCTGTTGCCTCGCAGTCTGGATCAATGTGAAATCCTTGTCCTAGTCCTCCGATGTTTCCTCTGTCTGCTCGTTTGCCGTTTCTGATTGTTGTTGCTTAAGCGCATTAACGTGAACCGTCCGCTCTTTCTTTGAATGTGTGTGCCGTATTTTGCAGATCACTGGAGAGACGAAATCCATAGCCTGGTAAGGAGCATCGTACCGCGGGGCTAGTTTCGCCGCGAATCCCGCGGCTGCTTTGGATAGAAGGTGTTCTTTGGCCCACACTATGCCGCCCACCGCTGGTGTCCACTGCCTCCTCCTCAGATTTTAGTGTCTGGCTTGGTCCTGGGATGCCTTTTCCATGTTCCGACGTACGATTTCGAAGACCTCTTTTAACTTGTTGGCGTTTTCTTTCGGGGTCTATGTAATTCTCCCTGAGCCTAATGTTTCCCTGGCGTATAATGCGTTTGGCAAACGGGGCTCTCGGCCTTGTGTGAGAAACGCTGGGGAGTATCAAGCTGCTAGCAGTGGTCAGTTCTCGTCCAAAGTTCTTTGATCCTTTCCTGCGAATTTTGCTATCATCGTCTTTACCGTACCGTTAGCCCGTTCTGTTGGGTTTTCCTGCGGTGTGTAGGGCGCCGTGAATTGCTGCTCCTGATCCAGCTGCAGCTATTGGTTGGTTTTTCCGATGCGTCTTTCATGGTCCTAAGAGTCTCCGGCAACGGTTGTCGTGATAGGGCGTCTGCCACCACGTTCAGCTATCCTTTCCTGTACGCTATCTCGAAGTCGTACTGCTGTATGCTCCAAGGCCCATCTTGCTATCCTTCCAGAAGGGCTTTCTATGCTGTTTAACCACTTTAAAGCCATGTGGTCTGTAACCACTTTAAAATGGTTGCCCACACGATTGCCAAGCACTCCTTCTCTGTTGTGGAATAATTTTTCTCCGCGCCGTTTAGTGTCCGGCTTGAGTATGAAATGACCCTTTAGCCGTCCTCTGTCTCTTGAGTCAGGATTGCACCTAAACCATAGTCACTGGCGCCCGTTTGAAGGATGAACTTTTTCTCGAAATCATGGCACGCCAGCACTGGATCGGCCACTAATCGTGCCTTTACCTCTTCGAAAGCCTGTTGGTGTTCCGGCGTCCATATGCACTTTTGCCTTTGCGTAGAAGATCATTAAGTGGTTTTACTATACGCGCAAAATCTGGGACAAATCGTCGGTACCATGAAGCAACGCCTAGGTATTGTCGTAGTTCGCGTACCGTCGACGGTGGCTCTAGTTCGGCTATGGCCGCTACCTTCTCGGGATATGTGCCTATCCCTTCGCTAGTAACGCGATGTCCTAGGTAAAGCAGCTCTTGCTTGTTGAATTTGCATTCACGGCGTTTATTCTTAAGTTTGCTTCCTTGAGGCGCCTAAACACTTCCTTTAGGTTCTCCACGTGTTCTTTCAGCGTGCGTCCGATCACAATAATGTCATCTTGGAATTCAAACGATTACCTGATCCAGAGCCCCTTGGAACGTGGCCGATGCTGAGTGTAGTCCGAACGGCATTACTTTCCATTGGAACAAACCTTTGCCGGGTACTGTAAGCTCGTTATTTAACCTACTATTTACCTCCAAAGGGACTTGCCAATATCGGTATTTCAAGTCTCGACTGCTTATGTATTTTGCCTCTCTGAGTTGGTCCAGGGTATAATTGATCCGCTGCATCGGGTAGGCATCTTTTATGGACTTCGCGTTTATTTGTCTGAAATCAACGCTTAGTGGGCGAGCTGTATGGACTTCTTGAATGTTCCATGAAGCCCATTTGTAACAGCTCGTCCACTTTGGCATTGATCTCTCCTTGGACTCTTGGGTTCTTAGGATAATACCTCTGTTTGATTGGCTTGTCGTCTTTCACGGTGATTTTGTGCACGGCCACTGTAGATGTTCCTGAATTGCTGAATTCTGCTAGCTGTCTGTCACTTCTAGCTGTCACTTCCGTGAGAATCTACAGCCACCGACAGCCTTTCTTCTAGACATATATTGTGCCGTTTTCTTGCAGGTATTTGCAATTTATGCCCGGCACATTTTATTTCGGCCCCGACTCCTGTGAGGAAATTCTATCCCAGCACTAACTCATCCACTACTCCTGGAAGTATTAGAAGATTCATCTGCATTTGTTTGTTTCCAAACTCAACCGTGACCTCGAGCTGTGAGCTTATACTGCTGCATCTGCCGTCTGCCAACCTAACATGCCGTCTTGTCCTTGTGATCCTTCCTTTGTCAGCCAGTGTATCCGACAGCTCCTCGTTAATGAAACTTTACGTGGCTCCCGTGTCAATTGTGGCCTTGTATGCGACACCTCCAATTTCAACGGTCGCGGACAACTGCTGCTCTTCCTCGATCAGTTTGCCAGTTAGTTTGGAGAGGAGGCACTTTGCGATTGGGATCGCTGCCGATTTCCCGACTTTTGGCAGCACTCTACGCTCCTGACCCCAACCTTGCCGCACACCCAGCAGAACAGTAATCTTTGGTTTCTGCATCCTCGTGCCCAGTGTTCGTGCCCTCCACAACGGCGACATGCCTCCTATGGGTGCATTATGTGGGTCTGTGCATTGGTGGCTCTTGGCCTTGGGTTGCGTGTCATCTGAGTGGTGTTTGGTGGCCTCCATAATGTGGTCATTGGCTGTCTTTGATGTGTTACACTTACCTTCACATCTCATGCATGTTGTTTGTGGTGGTGCTGCCGTTTTGTTTCGTGAAAACTTGTGTTCATGAACGAACTCTTCCTCATCAAAGTCTGCATGTCCACCATGTAATCTTTGAACGGTTCCCTGAAACCCTGTTTCCGCTGTTTCCCCTCGAGAAAAACCCTCTCGGCAGAAAGTATGTCTGGACACTTTCGCTGAAATCTCCCCATGTTCTCCAATGTTTATTGTTTGAAATAAACCATTTCAGTGCTTTGCCTTGCAATAGCTCTGGCATTGCACGTGGGATCATGATCAGGTTCAAACCGTACCTGTTTGCGGAACACTCTACCTGTTCTAGGAATTCCAGTGGCTTCTCTGTGCCATCGAATTTGAACGACCATTCTCACACTTGCGTTGCGACTTTGGCGTAATCTGGTGTGCTAGATATTTGCTGCCCTGATTTTCTCTCTTGGCTTGTGTTTTGACTCCTGCCAGCTTCCTTCATGCTATCCACTCCAAGACTTGCTATGAGCTCCTCGGCGTCAGCGTTCAGCAATTTGACGGTTGGGCCTGGCTTATTGTCGTACTTCTCTTCCAGCTCAGCCCAACTTGGCTCCTATTTTTGCGAAATCCTCTTTCTTGAGGAGATATATCAATCCTTTCCTCATTTCTGTTTAGATGCTGATTCTCACCGACCGGACACGTATTGGGCGCCAGATATAACGAACTGATTTTTATGGTCTGCTCGCTACGAGTATCGTGCGGCTAGCTCAGAAGATGTGTGTTGCTCGTCCCACCAAATTTATATAAACGTGACCGCCCGATTGTCTAATGAGAACGCACAGAAGGTTAGGATGTATTTACTATCTTTATTTGCCGACTTGGCCCTCGGCCCGGGACTAATGGTGACAAGCTGGTATCTCAACGCCTTCTCCGATGAGTTTTGGTTGCTCCACCGTCGCTCTCCGCTGCCTCGTTTCGTGCTGATCCGGAACGCCTCCGTTGTCTTTCGACTTGGGGCTATGAGGGTCTAGGGATGCGTTACCGTTCCCAGACTACGATGAACAGGCACTGGGCTCTCAAAGCATACGCCTTTCGCAGCCACAGCCTCGTGCCCCTGGATCTGTCCCGGCCAGTCAAACCAGATGCCTACACAGTTTCTAACTGACGGTTCAGGCATACGCCGGAAGGCCGCCAATTCAGTCCCTGTGGCAGGACGCTAGGTTAAAGACGAACGCTTCCGCCCTCGCCTCTTAGCCGTAGACTGGATACGTTTGAGTATGGCTTGGTTGCTGCTGGGCCTGCGATGACTGCTCGTCGTTTCTTGTGTCCTCGATGTCCTTGCTCTGCTCACGGCGCGATATCCTGGCTCCGCTGTCTGCGTGCTCTTGTGAGACTAGGTGCAGCTGGTCTTTGGCTCTCGGGATTTGGTCAGCTGCCTGTCTAGGACTCTGGCGGTGAACTACTGTGCTCTCGACGCATACGCCTCTCGAGACACCCGTGGTTCAGTCGCGCGTCCTTCTTGGCTAGTCGTACCAGGGCCTGCACAATTTTCGCATGACGGTTCAGGCGTACGCCGGAATTCGACAAGGCAATTGCTTTCGCACGGCAGCTGGTTCTAGACAACTTCCCTTCCGAGCGCACAGTTCTTTGTCGAAGGGCTCTTTTTATTCAATTCTGCTGGACTCGCCGAGCAATACGCCGCGTGATGCCTTAAGGACCTCAGCTACATGTTTCTTAGCTCGGATACAACTCGCGCGGCTCTGCTTCCTCCTGATGTTAACTTCTTGTGTTGTTTTGATTTGCTCTTTCGTCGCGTGGATTGACTCCCGGCCGACTGACCCGCTTCCTGCGCTCGGCCGAATAAGGCGGCGCAGCCCGTTAATCTTTCGGCATTCGATTTCGTTGCGACGAAGATAGAAACGCCGCTTCACCGATAAAAAAATATATTACCTATTTTAATAGAAAGATCAATTTTGTGCCAATGCAAGCTAGTATTAATCGTTTTTCCAGGAGCGGCCAGAGAGTCCCAAGATTTGATATTATAGGAAAAAGTCTATTATATTTGTCAGAACATAATACTCCTGAAAGGCTCAAGCTTATAACCATGGACGAAATGGATCTACAAAGATTTAATATTCAGGGGAATCCCATAATCGTTTCTAGGTTAATCTATATATCGAGATTGACCACATTAATGAAGTCATCAGCTTGCACTTGGATGCGTTTAAATTTAGTAAATTATCTCGGGACCAGTTTTGAAAATT